GAGTGTTTACTCTCCAAACATGCGCTGGTCTGTTCTCTCTGCAGTGTCTCTGTCCGATCGATCGGGCTCTGTGCTGACGGTGTTTAAGACGGCGGCAGAGTATCAGGTCTGTGCAGACGAGTGGACCGACGAGCTGAGCGAACTGACCTGCAACCAGCTGGGACTAGGGTAAGGTTAGTAACACACGCACACGTGTTCGCAGCACTTCAGAGGACGTCATTAAAAACTTTCTTCACATTCAAATGTTTTTAGTTATGATGTGGAGATAAATGAGACGAGTCCCCAAAGTGAAGTAAAAACAAAGAGCATCCAGTTGGACTTCCTGTCTTGTGTTTCTCACCTCCGACTCCAGCTGCATCATCCTGCAGCTGACAGGCTCAGACTGTGGAGTTGGAGACACGTTATTCTGAGGGAAACTCTAAATACATACACAAACCATCTAAAAGTAGTTTTTAGACGAGCACTGCAGGCATTGATCTTAGTAGACATTACCCAGAGGAGCTGGAGGTGAAAACAGATGTCTGACTCACAGATTTCCTGTCAGATTCATCCTTGTAAAAGTAATTATTTGTGGGTTTGTTCTGTGAGAACAGAGCAGGTAATTGTCAGTGTTGTCTCGAGCACACTCCACCCAGACAGCTTCACTGACCTAAAGCAAACACATTGTTTCCTGCAGTGTGAGCGTTTCTGAGTTTCTGATGCAATAAGCATGTCGTGTTTGTCTCTGCAGGGTTCCCTCCTCTGTTTCCAGGGTGCCCGATCAGCCCAGCGTCCAAGGCCGTCGACGCTGGTTACACGTCCACCCTGAGTGGCGCCAGAGGAACGGTTCTGCTCTGCAGGCCCGGCTGGAAAAGAGAAGGTAAGGAGCTCGTGGTGAGTCGGTCAAAGAGACCAAACTGAGGCTGATTCAATAAGACGGCCTCGGTCCAGCTTTGAGTTTATCTGCCAGGCACTGATGTTAAAAACTGTCTGCAGCATCAGCCCATCAGGCAGGAAACAGGACACCTGTTCAGGCAGGATGATGAGCTGGCTGTTTTGAAGAGTTACTGTGAGCTGGTGTCGCAGTGATGTGTTTATAACAGATGTTTCTCTGTCTGTCCTGCAGTCATGCGTGTCACTCCAGACAGAGAGTTTCAGTCCTGTGTACCAGAGAAGGTAAACCTTCTTCTTTTATCCCTTACTCTCAAATCAGTGTGTTTGTAGAAGCATGTTAAACTGGACGTGTTTAACTTTTCCCTCATAGTCTTGCTCTGGTGGTGGATGCTCATAAAATAATAATGAGGTCAATAATGGTGCGCTAAGGTTTTTTTTTTCTACTCTGGCTCTGTATGATGTCACAGATCTATATCATTATCTCTGATGTTCCAAGCTTCTGTTTGCAAAGAACATCCATTCAGGGTTTGACTTATAAAGGATGGAGGAGCTAAAAATGGGGCTGCGCAAAGGCCCAGTGTGAGATAAAGAAGTGTGATTTTGAACTCTGAATTATGCAAAGCTACTGTAGTTGAGTTGAAGAGTCAAACGGAGCTGGTTTGCATGAGCAGGAGTAGATCAGCACTGTCACTCCTCCTGCTACCAACAGATGGAGCTCAAATTTAAAAGTTTAATCTCAAAAATTGTCAAAGCAGCCACATTCAGCACTACAGTCAGAGGTCCAGCTGTTGATGCTGATCAACAGCTGGACCTTCAAGGTTTAAGTGTAGTTTGGTATTTTGGAGTTCAGACGTCCAGCTGTTGTCTGACTGATGTTGACTGTGTC